AATAAAATATATATTAAAAAAGATTCAGAACATTTAAAAAAATATTTTTATTGACTTCAGAGAGAGAAAGGGAGAAGGTGAGATAGAAATACCAATGATGAGAGAATCATTGATCAGCTGCCTCCACACTGGGGACCAAGCCTGCAACCCAGGCATTACCCGACCAGGAATTGAACCGTGGTCTCCTGGTTCATAGGTCAATACCCAACCCCTGAGCCATGTTGGCCGGCCCATCTACATGACTTCCCTCTGGAATGGCTAGGGTTCTGGGGTGGACTATCAGGGTGGCTCCAGGAATTCTGGGATAGAATATAAACCCTGAGATTCTGATAGGGAAGTTAGTGTCATGCTGAGAATCTTGGGGTAGAATGTTAGGGTGACTCGGATTCCTGGGATGGAATGTTAATCCACCCTGAAAATTCTGGGGTGGGTGTACGTCTAGTTCAGAGAATTCTCGGGTGGGTTTTAAGCTGGCTTTGGAAATTCTTGGTGGGATGTTAGTTTGCATCAGAAAGTAGGGCCTGAAATGTTAGCCTGGTTCTAGAGCCCTGGCTGGGATGTTAGGAGCACTCTTGAGAATTCTGAGATTGCCTGTTAGTCTGGCTCTGAGAAGTCTGGGTAGGATCTCATGCTAGGGTTAAGAATTCCATTATTTAGCCCTACCCGGTTTGGCTCAGTGGATAGACCACCGGCCCTCGGACTGAAGGGTCCCGGGCACATACCTTGGTTGCAGGTTCCCAACCCTGGTCAGGGCACATGCAGGAGGCAACCAATCGATGTGTCTCTCCCCCTCCCACTCTCTAAAAATCAATGGAAAAATATCCTTGGGTGAGGATTAACAAAAATAAAATAAATAAAAATCAGATATTTAAAAAAGAATTCCATTATTTTTAAGAAAGGAGCCCTGGTCGGATAGCTCAGTAGGTTAGAGCCTCACCCTGATACACCAAGGTTGGGGGTTCAATCCCTGATCAGGGCACGTACAGGAATCAACCTATGAGTGCATAAATAAGTGGAACAACAAATCGATGTTTCTCTCTCCCCCTCCCTCCCTTCCTCTTATCTAAAGTCACTTTAAAAAATTTTTAAACAAGAGACAAGCCATTATAGAATATAGGCATACCTCATCTTATTGTGATGCACAGATATTGCATTTTTTTAAAAATTGACAGAAAAGACCCGCCACCAGCAAAAACCTTACAGCTCGCAAAGGCTCAGATGATGGTTAACTTTTTTTTTTTGCAATTGGTTAACATTTTTTTGCAATAAAGCATTTTTAAATGAAGACGTACATTTTTTCAGACAGAATGTTATTGCACACGTAATGTTCTACAGTATGCACCTGGAAACCAAAAATTGTGTGGCTTGCTTTATGGCGGCAATGCCCGCTTTATGGCGATGCCCGCCTTATTGCGGCACCTGCTTTACGACATTGTCCGCCTCATTGAGATACGCAACTGCGGCGCCTGCTTTAGGGCGATGCCCGCCTTATTGCGATGTCTCTTTAAGGCAATGTCCGCTTTATTTCTGTGCCTGTTTTAGGGCGATGCCCGCCTTATTGCGACATCTGCTTTACGGCCTTGTCCGCCTCATTGCGGTATCTGCTTTACGGCCTTGTCCGCCTCATTGCGGTACGGCAACTGCGGCGCCTGCTTTAGGGTGATGCCCGCCTTATTGCGGTGTCTCTAAGGCAATATCCGCTTTATTGCTGTGCCTGTTTTAGGGCGATGCCCACTTTATTGCAGTCAGTGGTGTGGAGTGGAGCCCGGGGTCGCCAGCGCATGCCTGTCTTAGGACCGGTCTGAGGGTTAAGGAGGGAATGTCCGCCTGGCTTTAGAACCCTGGGATGGACTGTGCCCTGGCGCCAGGCATTCTGGTCTTCGGGTTGACTCCGAGAATTTTGAGTAGAATGTCGGGGTACCTCTGAGAGTCCTGGGTGGAAGGAGGTGACGGAGAATCCTGGGCCGGGAACAGAGCACACACAGGCCACCGGGCAGGCCGAGGCTCCTTGGTCCGTTGAAGAAAGCCAGACTCCCGGTTGTCTCTCGGTCGACAGCCCTGGGGGAAACTGAGGCCTCGGGCGACCTGGAGAACCTGAGAACTGGGCGGTGGTTTTGGGGTCTGCGGTCCAGAGGGGGGTCCCTCTGACCCCTCCCCCTCCCTCCCACAG